GAATCGTCACCAATTAGTGTATAGATTACTCGTGCAAAACGGTTTTGGTCAGAAGTGGACCGTTCCGGAGATCTGGATACGTGATCTTTTTTGGTCATTAAAAAAACCGCGGTGCACTGTGACACAAAATCACCCATAACTCGGTCATTTTTGAAGATATTGCAAATCCGAGGCCAGATTTGGAAAGAGCATAAAATTTTGCATAAGACTGGCCACTTTTTAGGTCGACAGGTCAAAATTCGTTTTTACACTTTTTCTCAACATTACAAAAATCTTTCATGAGCTATCCCCAAAATACCTATGTTTCGATTTGACTCATATTTGGTTTATGGGGCCTCTATACCAAGTGGAATAACCCCTTAAAATATTGCGACTCGTTTTGCACTCGTTTAGCCGTGGTAAGGTAAAACGTTCTACAACGCACCAAAAAATCAGGTTTTTTTCGCGATTTTTCGCGTTTTAGCAACGGGGGATGGCCCAGCCTCATTCAAATCTCAAGCGGTGAGAAGGAAATGCAGTAACCACTTGCATCTGGACCTCTCAGAAGCCAGTAAACGTATTTTGTGGAACTTTCGGGCCGTGTTGCGGACACCTCAGGTCTCGACGGCTGTTGGGCGGGCAACCGAACGTGCACCGGTGCTCCTTGTTGCCTATCGTCCGATTGGCAAGGGCTCTAGTTGTGAAAGGACGATAAATGGTGCGTATTCTTGGTACTGGTCTGTTATTTTCTGACATACTGGAAGGAGTGGAAAGGCCAAGATGTGCGCATCAAGTCAAAGGAACCATTTCTTTTGTATTCATTTAGCGGGTGAAAGTGATGTTTTTTCGTTTGTGAATGTTCATCTTGGTACTTTTCTTCAAAAGGACAGTCCCCGAAAATTTGGACTTTTCGTACATTGACTAGGGTGCCGCGAAAAACACTTTTTTTCCGAACAGGGGCCAATATGAAAGATTTTAAATATCACCCCGGTCGGATAACATCTTCAGACCCCACAACGGCCCTGAGAATCGGCAAAATTGTCAAAAACGCCTTGTGGGTAGGCAATTTGTTTGCATGGCCACTTCCAGGCATATCCTTAGGCTTAAAAAGTCGAAAGGGGGCCCCTGAAGCCTAAAATAAATTTGTGGACAACCTCATCCTATGATTAACACCAGTTTCTGCAAAGTTAACGCATGATACACAGCAACAAAATTCAGAAATTTAAAACATGAAAATGTCTAAAATTTGATAACATTTTGAAATGATGTGTATATTACATTTCCCAAAACTAAAATGAAAAGTAATAAAGAGTTGAAGATTTCAAAACCGCTTTTAAAACTTAGAAACTGGGTTGTCAAAATTAAGATTGCCTGCCAAAAGTAAAAAATCGTTTCTTAAAATCCACATGACTGATGACTTTTCATAACTAGATTTCTGAAACTAAGTGATTAAAGTTGAAGTTGAACGCTTTATAGTGATAGCTGTCATATTCAACGTAAACCGAAAGTTTAGTTTGATTACTTCACCCAAACTGTTGACAAGCCACTTCTCACACGGTATGTCCCACAGTCAGCCCCTGGGTTCAAGGTCAGGTTTCACAGACCTCTGCCGCTAGGTGGCGAATAGAGCGCCGTGTCCGTTCCTGAATAAGTATTTCCTAATTGCGTTTCTGAAAGAACTTCTTTTGGCTAATGACACCATCTGTAGCCTTAGTAAATGTCTTCTCTATCCGCTAGCTTAAAGCCCGGACCTGAGCCCCATTCGAGCCCCAACCGAAGCCCCAATATCCACAGCCCGGGTTGAGCCCCGACCCCGCTCGAGCCCCATTAGAGCCCCACTTGAGCCCCGTGGCAATAAATCATGCAAAAATGCGTGATTTCAGGGCGAGGGGCTAAAATCTATACCTGAGGTGACCCGAACTAGGCCCGAAAGTTCCACAAAATACATTTTCTGGCTTCTGAGAGGTCCAGATGCAAGTGGTAACTGCATTCCCCACTCACCGCATGAGATTTGAATGAGGCTGGGCCATCCGCGATTGCTAAAACGCGAAAAATCGCGAAAAAAACCTGATTTTCTGGTGCGTTGTAACGTTTTACCTTACCACGGCTAAACGAGTGCAAAACGAGTCGCAATAATTTAAGGGGTTATTCCACTTGGTATAGAGGCCCCATAAACCGAATATGAGTCAAATCGAAACATAGGTATTTTGGGGGTAGCTCATGAAAGATTTTTGTAATGTTGAGAAAAAGTGTAAAAACGAATTTTGACCTGTCGACCTAAAAAGTGGCCAGTCTTATGCAAAATTTTATGCTCTTTCCAAATCTGGCCTCGGATTTGCAATATCTTCAAAAATGACCGAGTTATGGGTGATTTTGTGTCACAGTGCACCGCGGTTTTTTTAATGACCAAAAAAGATCACGTATCCAGATCTCCGGAACGGTCCACTTCTGACCAAAACCGTTTTGCACGAGTCATCTATACACTAATTGGTGACGATTCACCAAATATGAGCGAAATCGGAGACATCGAAGTCGGGAAGTGTGCGATCTTAACATGGAATCACCCACGGGCTCCTCTGGAGGCACTGGCCCGGACGTACTACACACCGGGAAGAAGAATCAACCCCGGTGCAGCTGATTTCAGACCAAGGACTGCGAGCATCGAGTCTTCACTCAGCCCTCAAGACCAAGATTCAACGCCGAGACGGTCGTCAAGAGAAAGGGGGGGAGAGAGTAGGCTGAACCAATGTCAATCCAGGTCAGAAATTGCAGTGTTGTGATGCCATCAAATAGAAGTTATCATTTAAGACTTTTAAATTGAAGTTTGTATAGTGCAACCACTGATGATGATTTTAATACAATAAACAGAAACTAAACCACAAGCACTTAGTCAAAATAACTCAAACTTTTTGCGACAGTTTAGGTAAACGTAAATGCTAATTAAATTCAAAGGCATCGCGACTTCGTCTCCAGTGCCGTTTTAACATCGAGACGATATTCTTTCCAACCGGGGGGATGTCGGGGAACCGCGGAGGTTTGAAATCCCGCGGGCACTGGAGAGGAAGCCGCGATGACATCCGATCGCCGCTCGGCGCGACGCCCTGGGCAGCGCGAGTCTGACCAGAGCGGGCGCCGAGCGGACAGACGCGTTCCGGCCCTCAGGAGGCATAGACCTCGTAGTAAGTGCTTATGGTTTAGTGACTTTCAATCAAGCTATTTGAATTTAGTTACCATCCCCTAGTTAGGGAAGTGCGTGAGGTAATCCCGACCATCTGAGCTCGCTCAGCCGGGTGTCAGCTCCAGGTGCAGAGACACCTGGAGTAACAAACATACCGACTCCACTGTTGCTTTTCTCGACAGCAAACTGGACCCCACTCGAAGGCTCAATGCCACCGCTTCACACCGCGCCAGGCCTCACCGAGCCCCCACTGTCTGGGTGTGGTTTTGCAGACAACGTTATTACAATCTGAATGTCGTACAGTGAAACTTGAGCTATATTGCAGTGAATCAAGCGCAAGTATAATAAGAAGCTAAAATTCCCATAGGTAACAAATCAAAATTTTGTTTCGATTTTTTTTGTCTTTTCAGCACAATTTTAAACCCACGTTTCTAATAGGCTAGCCCCATTTCCTCCCTTCTTAAAAATGAAATTTCTTCTTCGTGAAACTCAGCGTTTTCCTACAAAATTTTACCTGAAAAAGGAGATTTTTTTGCGGTACACGACCCGCAACCATGTTCTCAGCCCACGGTGGCTGCACGGCTGCATCCGTTTCTTGGGGCGAAACGACTTCCTGCCGCGCCAAAATGACTTTCCCGCGCAAACAACGGTGGCAGGGGCGAGAGTGGACATCCCTCAACTTTTGAGGAAGCGGGGCCTCCGAGTACCGCCCTCCACGTCGTCCGCCCTCGTACATTAGTTTGGAAAAAGTCAAACACGGCGCGTCTAAGACGACGACGACGCCGACGGCGGCACGGGACGCGCGGCACACGCACCTAAACAAGGGCCGACGCGAGTTCAATATTTGCAAAGCCAGAGTAAAGCCACAACATTTCAAAGTCGACGAGCACCGCCAGCGTGATAAAGAAAAGGGTCACCGTCAACGCAGAGCTGCGAGAGCGGCGGCGCTGCCTGCCAGCCCCGCCAGCCCCGCCTCTGCCTCGGTTGTATTTATGGGCTGGGCAACAGTGGCACTTGCCAGTGGGGTGTTCGGGGCTTGCAGTGGAACCCTGGCCAGGGAGGGTGGTCTCATAGCCGTGCAGGGAAGGGGAATAAAAGAAAGAACTTGACCATCTGTTGCTTTAGTCGTTCCTCAACATCACTCCCTTCTTTAAAAGTTACACCACTCCCTTCTTTAAAAAGTTACACCATTCCCTTCTTTTTGAAAAGTTTGACTCGTGCCCTTGTTGCCAGCCGTACATTTATAGTTTAAGGATTATTTAAAAGGATTTGCTGTTCTAATGCCAATCAGGCCTCTCAGGGTAGGGGTGTCCAGTCCTTCCCTGACTCGCCTTTCATGGTAAAATAAATAAAAATAAAAGCAAAGCAAGTTGAACTTCCGTAGAGTAGGTTGTCAGTGACTCTCATGGCACTTCCTCGAGCTAGCATTAGGGAAGCTGTCCTGAGGTCCTCTGACGCGCCTGTTCAACATTTTAAAAAGCATAGCCACTATTAGGGGAGAAAGTGATTAGTTAACAGCCGAAGGTCTCGAGGCTCAGCGTGCTGCCTCGGACAGGCTGGAGTGAAGAACGGGTGTCTTCTGTAGGTTGTCCTTGTCGTTCTAGGAGTTCTCGGCTCTGAAGTAATTCCTGAACATACACAACAGGACTGCACAGAAAAACATTCTTTCTCGCCCCTCTAGCTACAGAGTGGGGTTTTGCCTTGGTGTTTCCTGACTAGCTAGCTAAATCCTATCTTCAAACACCATCTTTTTCTAAGTAATTTAATTACATTTAAAAGGGTTGGAATACTTAACTTTGTTTGGGGATGCTCTCTGCCGTTGTTCCGTCCACATACACCGCTGTCACAAGACCTGCAGGAACCGCTCCACTACTCGGAAGACTTCCTGGGGCCCTTGAGACGCGTTGACCACCAATTGCAGTTTTTCTTCCTTAGTCATCCAGCCAAGAAGAATCTCTTGAAGTTGTTGAAAATACTGCAGTGACAATCCGGTTTCTTCGGAACGGGCTCTGAGCTTCATTCTGTGATGTGCTTCCTCAGCTGTGGTGTGTAGGTAGATGAACACTTCTCTTCTCTTAAATCTTCCTGACAGCATCTGAGATAGCTTCTCCAGTAATAAGTACTGCGGTAGGCTGAGGAATCCGTTCTTGAATTGATTGAGGGCGAATATTTTCACCACACTGTGGACCGATCTTTCCATGATTATTATAGGTTGGTTGCCACAGGCCTCCGCTTGCTCGTGCCAGATTGAAAACAAGGCTAACGTTTGGAAAGTGAAAGCCCATTTCGGTAGGTCCTTCGAGTACAGATCCAAGAAGTTCACTCCGTTGCAGTCGGTCCAAAGTTTCACAGGTTCTTGAACCACTGGGTACCCTTTTTCTGCCAGTTTTTGCAATAAAGTGGTCTTTCCTACTCCGATGTTGCCTTCTACGTACACCATGATTTTGCTGACTCTGGTCCGTCGTCTGCTTCGCCGGCAGATGTTTCGGATAATTAACAGGGTGGCCAACGCCAACCCTCCGAGGGCGACTAAAATTTCCATGTCTGTTCTGGTGGGAGGCTTCTGGGCGACTGGAGCCGTCCCATTCTGCTCCTAGGCCACTGGCCTCTGTGCGTGCCTTGATCGCGTTTCCTGGTGCGCTATCGGTCTCAGGTTGAATGACTATTGTTCTGGCCGGCACCTACCGTGCCACAAATGTCAACTCTGGCCATCCACTCTGTGTGGTCGCACGCTTGGTTTGACTTTTCTTGGTTGGCACCATTTCGCTCGGTCGGCTCCCAGCTTCTGGACCGCCTTGCCGCCTTCTCGCCGAGCCCTTTGATTTAACGATCTGCGATAGCCGTTCGATTTGGAACGTGACGTTGGTGTCAACGTACGACTTCTCGCCTCGTAATCTCTGGAGCCTTATTATTCCGTATCGCCGAGCTCTGGCTTTCCATAAATTATTGGCGCCATTCCGGCCATTCGGTCTCTGGAGTCTCGCTGGTGCGAACCACTCGTCATGCGTTGGTCGGTACGGCTTTACTTTTCGCGGTACTCGATGCAGTTGAAGTGGGGGAGTGCGTGCGTAGCGACCCGCTCGATGCAGTTCGTCGGGATGGGCGTCAGTCCTGCCCCTCGAGCTCTCGCGTTCGCACTTGCTCTAGTACACTTATCCTTGATGGGTGTTCACTGTGGCAAAAAGGTACGGAAAATTCTGTTAATTTTTTTGCCAGGATTCTCCGTAGCCCTCTTATCAATATTCTCCGTAGGCTCTTACAGTATTCTCCGTAGGGTCGCACAGTATTCTCCGTAGGACCGCACAGTATTCTCCGTATGACCTGGAAGACTGTATAGTCCTACAGAGATTACTGTGCGGTCCTACGGAGAATACTGTGCGGTCCTACGGAGAATACTGTAAGAGCCTACGGTGAATATTGATAAGGGGGCTACGGAGAATTACCACAAGCTATTTACAGAATTTTCCGTAACTTTTTGCCGCAGTGTTCTTTTTACCGGGGTGCACCGTCAATCAGGAAGACAGTGTTTAGTCGGCCAGTATCGTAAGGTTCGATCTCCGGGTCGTCTTCCCGTTAAGGTGAGTGTGTTTTCTCCTTCTAGTGGAGGATTTTCCTTGAATTCTAAATAAGATTCTTTTACAGGGTCACTTCGAGTGTTGTGCTTGGGCCGTCGCTACCGAGCCTAGAGCGTGGAGTTTTGTGACGAATAGTACTGTGGACGTTCATCTGATAGCTGAGCTTGCTGGACAGTACTCTACTGGCTGGTTTTGTCATTTCCGAAAAGCGTGTCCTGTTTGTCCCACTGCTCGACTTTTCAACTTCTGGGACTGCTCTTGTGGTCGTCGAGAGAGGGCTGAGGAGTCTTCTCTTTTCCTGGTTCACGAGTACTCTGCTCCAGTGTGAGGTAAGCCTCTTTTAAACGTGAGGGAAATTTCTCTTTTCTGGGTTGGTAATCTAGCAGGTGTCGGTTGCCTGGGGAAGGCCTGTGTTGCTGCCAAGTGTTCGGTTGAGTGCTTCCTTGGTACTCAACTGATCCTGTGCCTCTGCCCTTGACCCGTTGCCTTTGACCCTTTGCCTGTGTCCTTTATCCTGTGTCTTTGCCTTTGCCTTTTCCTGAAGTCTCTTTTTTTTTAAAAACTTTCAGTCTTCCTTCCCCCCTTTTTTTTTGTTCTCGTCTCTGTGTGTCTTTTTCTGTGTCTGGTCTTGGATATGGGAGTCCGCAATCGCGCCAAGGACCAGGAGTCAGGGCGGCAGTGTCTAGTAGGGAAGATTGGGCGCGTCCTGATGGTGACGATGGACCCTTTGGGGCGTTCCTGACGGGGAGCCGAAGTCCTGTTCGGTGAGGTTTTCTTCACTCATTTCTCGGTTTTGTGGCTGGTTCGCTCGCGGGTTTGACAATGTAAATTTTCAGATGTGTCTGCCCTGTGTCAAGTGGCAAGTTGAAAACCAAGAGGTGTTCTGGGGGGGTCAGATTTGCTTGGAACCCCAGATCCCTGTCACATTCCATCGATACGCCGAAGTGGCGCGGGGGTATGCCCGTCACGAGACCGGCTACACGAACTGGAAATCCCCGGGAAAGTGCCCTTTTTGGGGGCGTAACCCCGGTTGTGAGGGCCAATTCCTTCGACTGGTCTCCTGTGACTGTGATGCTCGCGGCTTTGCTGAGGGTCATAGCGACTGGTCGTTGGCGAGCCCTCTCGATGGGGTTCGGGGAGCTCAGGCCCAGCAACTTTTCCTTCAATCGCCTCCCGAGTGGAAAAATATTTTATTGGACTGGGATTAGGAGGTTGGTATTTTAGGTTGCCCAGGTTGGTATGGGCGCAAGTGCCGTTGTCTGGGAGGCGGCTTGTTGACTGGGACTACTTGCTGTTTGCAGCTGCGCTCCAAGTCGCCACTCCAAGTCGTCCCCTTCGCCTCTTCAAGTCATCCTTCTCTGTCACTTCGTCACTTCGGACTACGATGCAGGGGTTCCGAAGGCCGTGTCCTTGGGGTCCTTCCCACCGATTTATGACTATGAATGAGGACTCGTGCAGGGAAGGGCCGTTCCAGCTTCAGCCCACTGTGGCAAAAAGGTACGGAAAATCCTGTTAATTTTTTTGCCAGGATTCTCCGTAGCCCTCTTATCAATATTCTCCGTAGGCTCTTACAGTATTTTCCGTAGGGCCGCACAGTATTCTCTGTAAATCCGCACAGTCTTCTCCGTAGGACCTCGAAGACTGTATAGTCCTACGGAGATCACTGTGCGGTCCTACGGAGAATACTGTGCGGTCCTACAGAAAATACTGTAAGAGCCTACGGAGAATATTGATAAGGGGCCTACGGAGAATTACCACAAGCTGTTTACAGAATTTTCCGTAGCTTTTTGCCACAGTGCCCTACGTCCATAGCTACCACCCTCCTCGCTGTATGAAGGGGAAAATTGTGAAGGTGGGACCAGTTGGTTCTCCGGAGTTCCGTTGGGTAAGAAGGTAGTTGGGCGATGCTGGGTGTTCATAATTTTTGCCGGTTATTAATTTTTTTTTTTTTTTTTTATTTCAGTTGTGCCACTCTTGCGCTTCCCATTATATTGGGCTGAGTCTGGGTACCCATGAAGTCCTGGAGCGGAAGGGCATTGTGGAATTCCATGAACCTTCCGAGGGCGCAGAGATCTTGTACCGTGACATTATTGGAGAGGAGAAATACAACAAGATGGGCTTCCACTGTGAGCTGGCGCGGTGCTTCTGGGGCGACTGCATCGCCCAGCCGGTGTGTGCCCGGATTTGCAACTGCGCCAAGCGGAAGTGCTACGGGAACCCTGCCCTGGAGAGTGAGCGGCTTGCATTGGAGGCCTCTCTGAAGAACGCTAAGACCGACCTCGCCCGTGCTCAGGCCCGGGTGAACCTTCTTCAGAGCGAGTTGGACAATTTTGATCCCGAAAACATTCTGGTTAAGTAACAGTAACCCTCACGCCCGAGTGGCTAAACGCTTCTGTAGAAAATTTCTTGAAATGTTGTAATTTCCTTTTGTAATTGTAGTTCCTTTGATAAAGTTGGACTTTGAACGGTGCTTTGTAGTTAAATTTGGTGGTTTCTCCTTAGTAATCTTTTCTGTATTTTGCCAGTTATTTCCCGTATCTTTCACGTAATTTTCAATATTTCACCTTTTGGCTTTAGTTTTAGTAATAAACAATTGGTTCTGTCTTTGTTGTTTTCTTGGCGTTTGAACACTTATTTCCACTCTTGTAGTGTTGGCAACGCAAATACTGGTCTTAGTGGTTGGGGGTTGGCACCAACTAGACTGGTTGTGGAGGTGGGGGAAACCGGGCAGGTGGAGGGGGAACCTCGGTCGCCTGGCTGCGGGTTTGTTTAGCGCGCAGTGGAGGTTCAGAGCTCGGCCTGACTGGTTGTGTGCCTCCACTGTTACTGTCCAACCTTTGAGCGTCTGAATCTTCCCGAACTTCCTGACCCGATGACTCCCCCTTTTTTTCCTTTTTTTTTCTTTTTTTTCTTTTTTATTCCGAAGATCAGGCATTGTCGAAAGAAGAATTGTTGTTGCACGCGTCAGGCGTATCGTTATTGTATTCTGGATCGGAACTACACCAGTCTTACAAGTTAAAAATGACTACATGTGTACTGTCAGGTAATTATCAGCTCAAAAATAGTATACAGGTGCCTGTGGTTGATGAACCATCAAAATGGCAAGAAGTCTCATTAAGGCCTATGAAGTTTTTGGTGAATGGTATGACGTGCCAAATAGTTGATCGACAGATAGAAATTGCCACTAACGGCATTGAGGTCTCGAATTTCGAAAGTGCAGAACTGGATGACTCGAATGAATATCTCCTACCTCGGCACAACTCGCCGGATCATTTGTCGACATTTATCCACCATTTGTTAAAACGAACAGGCATGGACGTGGCTGCAAAAGCATGCCCGTTGCTCTGTAAGGACGTATGCGCCCACGATCGAAACAATAAATGTGGACACATATGCTCTATTAAACCCTGGAACGGACGAGAATGTTTTCTGTTCCAGTCAACTTGTGCAAACCATTCCTCGGTCTTCTAACGGACGTGTCGAAATTTGTCTACCCGCCGCCAGAGGTTGATGTGCTACAATCACACTTAGTCATACTAAGGGAAGTGTTTTCGGCCTGTAACACTAATAGATTAAGTACTCTTGCTATTGACGAAGAAAATCTAAAATAAATTTTGATTGCAAAAACCATTATGCTAGATGTTACAGGCCTTCAATTCACAATCCCGGTGGCTAGAGTAGAGCTTTATTATAAACTAGACAATGTATGGTGTGAGTTGTCAGAAAATAATAAAATTTAAAGATAAAAAATGGAGGGGGCCGCCACCCAAAGTGCAACCTGGAAAAGTCCCTGGACAGGGTTTTGCCTATGAAATTCGCCATTGACGGACTGACGTGTTCAATACTGGACAGCAAAGTAACGTTTGCTACAAATGGACACGAAATCAGAACTCTGAGTCAAAATGTACAAATGGTTGCAGGATTTATAATATACATGCCTAGAATAAATTCACCGAGTGACATAACTGATTGTATCCATACCATATTACAGGGAGGATCTATACAAGAGGCAAGGGATAAATGCCCAGTATCTTGTATGGATATTGCAGCCCCGACGACAGTCCAACAAATCGATAACAATCAATTTGCTATAATTAACCCCCAAAGGTTTCCCAAATTTTTTAATGTTTTCAAACCTTTTTTAAATTCCCCCTCTAAAATGGGGAAAAAGATTTTAACCTTTTTCCAACCATTTTTTCCGGGCGGGGGCGAACGGAAAAAAGAACCCCGGGTTTTTAAACCCCGGCAAAAACCAAATTTTTTGTCCAAAAATTAAAGGGAAAATTTTTTTGGGAAAAAAAAGACGGGCCCGGGTTAAAAAAATTTTTTTGGGCCAAAAAAAACCTTTTTTTGCCCGGAAAAACCCTTTTCCCCAAAATTAAAATTAGGCCACATTTTTAAAAAACCCCTTTCCCCCTTCGCCGGAAAAACTGGTCTTTCTTGGGGGGAAAATTTACCTCTTTTTCCATTTGGGGGTAAAAAAAAGAAAGAAAAGGAAAGGGAGGGTCCCCCTTAAAGGGTTGCAAAAATCCCGGCCAAAATTTTCGGGGCTTGGGGGGAAAATTAGGGTTTTGGCCAACCCCCAAAAGGGGAAAAAACAAAAAGAAAATTTTGATTTTCTTTAAAACCCCCCCCCTTTTCCCCCCAAACCCAGTTCCGATTCCAAATTTGTACAAATTTAAAAAAACCCCCCCCCTCAATGGAAAAACGAAAAATTTTTAGTTTTAAAAGAAGGGCCCCATACCCCCACGCCCCGGACCCAGTGAAGTTTGGAAAAGGGGTTTTTTCGCTGGGGGGACAAATTCGAGGTTCCCCTCGCCCGAAAAACCCCGGAAATCCTTTTGCGGACAGCCACCAAAAACCTGGTCCGGGGGGTGGGGGCCGGCAACGGTTTGGGGGCCTCCTTTAAATTACCCTTTTAATTTTGGGGGTAAACCCCCGGAAAAAAGGGGGTGTAAGGGCCCGGCCAAAAGGGAAAATTTAAAATCCGGTTGGCCAAATGGAAAGGAAAACGCAACGATTGGGCATTCCAAAAACCCTCTCCGAGGGCAGCCCGGTTTTCCAAAAGGGGTACGGAAAGGAAACCCAACTAAAAAGAAAAGAGTGAAACCAAAAATTTTTAGGCCCAATTTTTGGGGGATTCCGGGGCGAGAAACAAAGGCTACCAATTTTTTGGGAGAAACCAAAAGTCCCCCCGCCAAAAATAGGAATTTGCAAACCCCAAAATCTAATGGGTAACCCCGGAAATAACCCGTCCCTTTTTTGCCCAATTTTTTGGGGAAAATTTTTCCCCTTTTGAAGGGGGTTTCCGGGGGCCGAAGGGGATTTGTTTTTTCCCCCGGGGAAGGAATGAATTTCCCTCCGGCTTTTTGCCGGACAGGCAGGCCCGGCCGGAAAGGGGTGGGCCGGGAAGGGGGAGGCCCCGAAAAAGTCGGACTAGGTTTTTAGACCAAAAACCCCGCCATTCTTCCAGAAAAAATTTCCCTTTTTTGGCGGGAAAAAATTTTCCCAAAAGGGGTTTTCAACCCCCAAGGCCCGGAAAAACCGCCTTTTCCCGGGCCCCCAAAAAGTGGGGCCGCCCCGAAGGGAGACTTTTTTTTTCCCGGGTGGTGAAGCCGACCATCCCGGGCCCCGGGTTAAGGCCGGCCACGGGATAACCTTAAAAATCCCGGAACTCCGGAATTTGGACCAATGTTTGCCCGAAACCTTTCCCGGGTTTCTTGAAAACCCCCGTTTAAAAGGGCCCCCTTTTTTTTCCCAAAAGGGTTCACCCACGGCCCCGTAAAAAGGGGCCCCCCAAATTTGGGCCGAAGGGGGACTTGGTGGAGGGGGGTTAAACCACCCGGGTTTACCCCGGGGACCAGCAAGTGAAACAACCCCTTAACAAGAAAGGGAAGGGGGGAGACAACAGGTAAAAATCGGTAAAAAAACCCACCCGTGGGAAAAAAGGTAAAAAATTTAAGGAAAGGAAAATTTTTGGTGGGGACCCCTTTTTTGGCAATGCTGTTTTTTTAAAAAAAAAATCCAAAAACCTTGGGGGCTTTTTCCCAAAAGGGGCCAAAAAACAATTCTTTTTAAAGTTTAATTCAAATTCCTTTTTTTTAAGGGTCCCCCCTTTCAATTCTTCCCTTGATGGGGGTCCCCCAAAGGTTTGGGGGGGAAAAACCTTTTCTGTCCCCTTATTTTAGTTCTTTTTCCCATTAACAAAGGGTTTTTCTTTTTTAAATTTGGGAAAAAGTTGAATGGGAAAATTTTAAAAACTTGGCTATTACGCTAATTACTATTACGCTAAGGGAGGATGGGACCCGACTATTACGCGAGTGATTTCCCCCTCGCAGGTCCCTGTTCAACCAGCTTCTGCAGGCAATCCTTTTCTAACCTTTACACCCAATTTGATAACATAGTATTATTTTTACTGCCTCTATCTTAGTCATATGCTGATTTATTACAAATACTAATCTTCATCTCTCTGTTCTTCTTCGAAGATTGTGCCAAAAACACATGGCTTTTTCATGTTTAATGTCAAATTGCCGGTTAAATTAAGGGTCCGTTTCAATCAATCTTGCATTGTATGAGTCAAACGTGTTGATTTTGGACCGTTTGCTGTCGGTTGATTAGATGTTCGTGACTTTAATCATAAGTTTTTCTTTTTGTCATTTGCACAGAAAGTAAGAGTTAAAAGGGCAGGAGTACGCCAGACAGTGGCTTGTCGTAACAGGCTTCGCGATGCTGCGCCAGTTCCGACAATCCACGCCTGGCGAGGGTGATATTTAGTCACGTTTTAAGAAACTTTGCCGTCAGAAAGGCTAAAACTATGATTAAACAGTCCTTTGCTGTCATGCTTTTATCGAATCTTTTTAAGATTGACTTTTCTTGTTTCAGATTTCGAAAAGATGTGCACGATCTGCTTCATAGCATGGAGCACCTCCATCTTTGTGCACCGCAGCTCTCCGGGTCGTCGTTGGCGGGCAGCCTGACCCGCAGCAACAGCAGCGTCCGCGACACTGGCCCTCCACCGTCCAGAGGCCCTTAGCGTGTGGCCACAGGTGGCACTACGCGTGTTCATCCGGTGGCGGGCCACGCGCATACGCAACAGTGAGTCACTCTCCTGTCCTACCTGACGGACAGATATTGGTTATAATGTTACATGTTACAAGGTAGGAGTTCCGACAATCCACGCCCGTCGTTAACACCTACCTCGGCCTGCGGCGGCGCTGGCCTGCCTTCGGCAGACTCTCTCGCCGCACATCACCACCTGATCGCACGTCAGAGTAGTGCTCGGTTCCAACCTTAAGCCCGAACCTCCTAAAAAGGGAAGCCCTTACAGATTAAAGCGCTGCAGCTTAAGACAGAACTTAAGAATGCAAAACCAAACTCAGGGGAAGAAGAAAGGTGGTGGGACTGTGATCCCATAGAAATGAGTTCAGACCAATTAGATCCCCCAAACCATCTTTTAAGCCCAAT